ATCTACCGCTATATATTAGCCGAATATTATGCTTAGCCCGAAAATCATTTCTGGATTTTTCTACGAATCCAGATTTTTGGTCTGTATGAATCCCATTTGGAAATGGCGTGCAAGGCAAAAATAGTTTTCGAGAAATTTCTTACTCAAACATGCCATTGTTCGTGTTGTATTTGAATTGACGGAAAATGTATAATCTATCTACGCAGGATAGCAAACACATATTCGCACCCCATACCGTCGGTAGTGGTCCAAGAAAATTCAATCGCGATTCTTGATTAGGTTGTAACCTGCTCAACTTTGTAATATCCCCTTCCCAAGTAACTGGTTTCAAATTTTTACCCAATTTAATACATTCATTGCAATTCGCCGCAGTTAACTGATTTCAGTGATTCATATTTGGCCACCAGAAATAGTTGTTTGCCACTTTCCGAATTTTCAAGGTTTCCGAATGTCTTCTGTGAATCCGAATTTTTCTAGGAATAAAATTAGTTATAAACTAAACTTGTCAAGTTAATTGTTGACATATTAGCCTAAATTTTTGTTTGCTCGTAAAACTCAAGTATTAACTCTTCAACTGTACGATTAAGAATTTCATCAGACCAAGTAAGTAGCAATGTTTTCTGCGTCGAAAAAAGCAGGCCTTTCTGAGAGGATAAATAAGGAACATATCCGGAGAAAATTCTTTTGTATCGGCCCATGGCTGTCTGAAAGCATTAGTCCCATAGAATTTTTTCGAAGGCGATTCTTGGGTCTCCTGCCCTGAATGAAATAAAATTTTCATTGATTTTTTCACTAATTGTTAACAGAATTATCAACTTGCATCTAATATAATTTTCTATGCGCGAGTGATTCGAGGTGCAAACTTTGATCAAATTAGGCTTTCGAAACTCTTCAAATAACTCTTCTTTGCTGCGCATTCTCTCCAATGATGTAGTTTTTTTTTTTCAATTTTGTTTTGCACTTAACGTCATTCTGCCAGTCCTTGTTTCCGGTGCTAATTACAACCGTCTGTTTTAGTAGCCTACTCTTTGTTTTAATTTGCGGAACTACGAACGTTTAACCTAGTTCCCTCACTTTCGGAGTCATCCCAGCGGGATGCCTAGCTATAGTTAGATAATCCACTAATCCCGTATCTTTCCACTGTTTGTAGTCAATTTCATAGTGGAACGGCAATAACCGATCTACCCACCGCACTAGACGTTTTATTGTTGACAGGCAGGAAAAAAAGTTTTATGATCTGCAATAAACTTTAACATGGCTTCAATTAAATAGTTCTGGCAATGAGTCATCGCCCAAACCACCGCCAACAATTTTAACTCAGAAATTCTATATTGTAGTTCAGCTTTGTTCAAGATTTTAGATACATATGAAATATGTTTCCAACCATCAATTTGCAATTGTTCTGTTTTGAGTCATCGCATTTCAGTCTGGTTTGCTTAGAAAAACCAAACCGTTGAGTTTGGAGAAAATTGGTTACTATTTCTTACAATTTGACAAATTCTGATTCTTTTGTCGATCTCCATTCAAATCTCGAATGTTTTTCATCAGGTTTCTAAATGGTTTTAAGGTAGCAGCTAACTTAGGGATAAGTCGAAGAAAGGGTTCAATTGATCCATTAGCTATCGATTTGCTGTAATATTTTTATGTTGTTTCAAACTTTTTTTCGAATGGTACGGTGCCTTTAATCGAAAATCTGAACCCATGCCAATCTTTTTTCTTCGCAAGGATTATATATTTGCTCCACCTAGCAGCAGCCTTATTTTCGCTCGGCACCGCCACAAAACTCGATCGAATTATACGCCAATTGCGTTCCTTCGATCCCCGTGTTGCAATATGTCCTTTAAGTATACATATAACCAAAAAAAATGTCCTAAGTTAGAATCCAATTCTCGTTGAAACTCGTTTGGCTTATCCCCCAACCATTTAAGACCGGTTTGAAAACGAAATGTTCCAGTAAAACTCCCTCCGACGATACAAAATTGCATTGACGACTCCCTGTGTTGCTGGTCTTAATTTGTGAATACGTGTATTTAGAGTCGTTGTTCCAAAACTAGATTATATTGGTAGCTTTTTGCTGACAACTAACGCCACGTTATCGAATAATTGAATCAAGATAGCTTTTGGTATGGATTCCAATAAATCTGTTCGTCTGTCAATTTCGAATTGAACGCTTATGTAATCGACTCGCGACTCGAACCGCGAGCAAAAGAGAACAGCTTTTGGTACATTTCCTTAATTTGATGATATGTTCATCACTCAACAGACCCTCAATTGTTTCATCAATTTTCGGCACCACAAGCTTTCTTTTCACATGTATCGGTCGTAGCGATTCATGAAAATGCTTCATAATTTCACAATTCTTCTTTACTGGAATTCCTTTGAACAACTCTTCGATGTTTTTCCAAATTAATTTTATGCACTTACCTTGGATTGGTGAAAACTGAGTTTTGTTTCACTTTCTTTCCTCAAAATCATTCACTGATTTCGATATTTGTCTTTGGCGGATTTCAATTCCTAACAATCGTAAAACTTTGTCCTCGATAAAATCTGTTTGACCAGCATGGGTAACAAACAACTCCGCGCCTTTTGCAATCCATCCCTTGGATTATATGTCGATATAAATTCGAGAAATGATATTTAGAACATCGATTGTTGGACTGCAGAAGTTAGTGCTTGATTGTCTTGATTTTCAGTTAGTGCAGGTTGTCCAGAGATATAAAGGATACCGGGCTAGCACCGGGCCCTATCTAAAGGATAAGGCCAAGTTACTCAGGGAAACAAGAAAATGTTCCATTCCGTCGTTGTCCCGTTCTTTCCACCCACATAGTATAAAAATGCGGAATAAAATAGTTGGCTCTCGTTGAAATGCGTCGGTGGCAATTTCCATAAAATGAAGTTTAAAATGAATTTTTTTTTTTGGGATTTTTTTGGAAAAACACAGTTGGACCTGATTTTCCAGTGAAGAACATCTTTGACTTTAGTCTCTTATCAGCTTCACTTGTGGTGCTTCCTTTGAAAAACCGTTTCTCTTCGTCCATACGACGAGTTTCTTCCTCACTCCACCTCTGATGGCTTTGTTATTGCAACCTTCTCTCTCTGTTCTTGCCGTCGCATCCCCAGTACGAGCCGACTTTTCAAAAAAAGGTATTTCTTTTCCGGTTGTAAAGTTTCCTCCAATAGATTTTCGATAATTATTTTGTTTGAAGATACTACTAATTGCAACTTCTGCGCTCAATCCTTTTAGGTTACCGGTTGTTTGTGAGGTACCATGACAAAACACATCCAACCCACGGTAGGTAAATACTTCTTAGTGCGCCATGTAGAAGTATCCTCAATAAAAGTATCCGCTTTTTGGTCGGACCTTAAAAATGGGAACGAAGTTGTATTCGAGTGCAGTTTTTTTAATTTTTTTTTCTCACGCAAAATCGGGTACCACAAATAAACCTCGGAATGCTTTTTGTTATATGTTATATTAAACGACTTTGAAATATTCTCAAAAACCTGTCCCAGTGACGAGAAAAAATGGTTCAAAATTTTTGATCGAGTATCGCAATCGAGTAACGTTCGTTATTTAAAAATTGGATTTTTAGGCTCACAAAAATTGACTTGATTGAGAGGAAAATTTGTTTTGAGCGCATCTTTTATCGCTTCATTGGCAAATGATAACTTTTTATATCAAAAAATTTACTCCCAAAAAAACTTGAATTTTTTCTGCATTTTTTTGTTTTTAATATTTGAGGCCAATTGTCTCTTATGCCAGTTTTTTTTTGGTACGCGTTTGTATAGTTCGCTCATCGCACCTGCTCAAAAACCACCTTAAATTGAATAAAAATAAAACAAATTTTTGTAACTTTAAATGAATAAGGGGGAAGATTCTGTGCTTCTGGGCTATCTTTAGTTCTATTGGGTTTTTTTGTAACTTTTAACATGTTAAAACGAAAATTTTTCAAATAATTTCAAGAACCTTGATTATTGCTCCGACTTTCGATACGAATATAACGGAATATTTGTGGTCGGGTGGGTTTTTTTTCTTCAGACAAATTTCGACTTTTTAACTAGCCATTTTTGACAAAATTTTTTATTAGCATTCGAAAGGTATTGTCGTCTTGAGCTTAAGTTTGAAAAGATATTTTACCTGTGATTATTTTTCGTAAAAATATAGGGCTTTAAAAATTGCCATTTTGGCCAATTTGGGACTATTAACTCGCGATATTTTTTGCGCTATTAACGCGTAAGCAAGGTTTAATCCGCCTTAGAAATTGTTCCAAATTGGTTGAAAGAAGCTTATTTGCCATAATTGATTTGTAACAAGGAGTAAAATCTATCCTTTTGTTTATTATTTGGCGTGTGGGGGGATGATTTTCATAAAAAACTTCAATAAAAAAAATTCATTTTGTTTTATTACATTTAATTTTCTTATTACTGCTCCATAAACCATAAAAGTCAATCGGAAAATTCAGGGCTTCGCCCTGATACGAGCAGTTTTGTTTTCTGTTGGTACTTGATACGAGCTTTCGTACTAAAGTTTGGTTGTCCGAAATACATTTGTTTTTATCAAACTTCTTTATTGATGCATCAAAAACAAAAATTGAATGGGATAAGAAGTTTATAAAATGTATAGATTATAATCAAGACTATTAGGTCAAAGTCGTATTAACTGGCGCACTTCCTATGTTTTATCTCTGCAAACAATTATTTCCCGTCCCACTGCCAAAACAGGAAATTGAATACAGATTTGAGTTAAAATGATGGGTGAATTTATCAGATTTTTTTCAGAGCAAAAAGCTGTTTAAAACCGAAGATGTCTTTGTTCGTAGACTTCCAATCAATGAAAGAGATTAGCTTGACGTTTTTACACTCTTGGTGACAGTTTAAGCTGTTTATTTCACCAAAAAAAAAAGAATGAATAGAAGATTTAGCGAGTTGGGATATTTTCCATTAATATGAATAAAGTAAACATCAAGCAGGTTGCGTGGTATTCATGTAGAGGAGGTGATGGGACGATTTCGTATACAGAGCGGCAATTTTTATTACTTTCTTCAGACAAAAGAAATAAATGTTTCTGTATTTTATGCAGATCAAAGTTACCTGCGCTGTATTTATGGACTTCATTGACTTTGATTTGATGGTTATCAGTGGAAAAATTCCGCCTTGCATTTTATTAAAATTTTTCCGGACATGCTGTTTAGGACACTATGGAGAATTACGGACAGGACGCTGCAAATAAATTGGCGACGTTTTGGAGAGGAATTTCTACGGCTAAGAGCTCATTTCTGCAAACAACAAATAATAACGGCGCGAACAGTAACGTGAACGACCTGTCATCAAGCCCAGGTAACACTAGAGGGGGAGGAGGGGTGAACCAGCCGCCTTCATCAAGCAATTCATCCCGCTCCAACAGTTTTCTCGCTCCAAACCAAGACAGTGCATCTTTTCAAAGCTCGACTCAAAGCAACGTTAATAATATACGACCTTCATACACTTCTGTTAGCAATACCAACCCCAACTACAACTCCACCGGCAACTCGTCGTCTTACCATCAGCCTACTGAAGATTCCTCACTAAACAGACCTAACAACTTATCATCGAGTACTAACCAAAATGTTAATGACTCATCCTCAACATCGCCATCTTTACTGAGCAGAAGACTTCAGCAAGCTGTTCACGCCAACAGCTCTTCTACAACCATGAACTCCAGGCTAGATTCAGCTTTTGCTAAATTTGTTCAGCAGGCTAAAAATGCGTCAAGTTCATCGCCAACAGTGCCCCCCGTGACAGAGGATAAAACAGGTCCTAGCCGCGGGGCTAACCACCCGTCACTATCACCATCATCATCAGTATCTGTGAACCCAACTGCAAATCTAATCAGGAGAGGAGAGGATTATGGCGCCTGTTCTATTGCAGCTAATACAAATAGCAATCAGGCATCAGCATCAGGCAGCAATAACTTGGCCTGTTATAATCCTGGAAGCAGTAATGTGATGGTGTCTCCTTCTGATTTCAATGGCGACAATCCTCATCATCATAAATCATCTCAGCCCCAAGACCCAACTAGAGGTTGCGTGTCAAAAATATCGACAATAAGTATCAACATTTGTTGCCTTTTCCCATTTTTCACTCTTTATCTCCAGCTTTTCCCTTCTGCCCCGACTTAAGCGGATTTGATATGAGGTGCAAACGGCGACCTTTTAACTATCTTTTAAGGTGCATAGCCTTATCCATAAATCCACAAGATAAATCAGCTTTTAGACGGTTGCAAATCAACAAAAGGCGCATTCAAGTTTATTCAAACAGAATTATTATCTGACAAAAGAGAAAAAGACTGTTATTTTCTACCAGTAGTTACCTGCCAACTATCAACGGTATGATGATTGAATATGCACCTGATACACCCTATAATAATTGAGCACCTCGTAGTTTTTCGCACTCTCTTTGAGCAAAAATAAATATTAATTAATTAATTGGTTGTCAATTTTCAATGTCCGATTTGCGCTCAAATTTAGGCTAATTTAGAAGATGTAAATTGTTTTTTTCCGAAACTTTTAAGTTAAGATTTGGATTACAATTGAATGGCAGTAAGATTAATTCAGAAACTGCTAATTTTTCATTTGGTAATTGTTTTAAGTTAGAGGCGGACTTTTTAAGTGGGTATTTCAGAACAAGCGGACCTGACAGGAGACCACATGCACTCACATGAGCCTAATAGATCCCCAAGGACAGATCAGTTGAACCCAAGCCAGAGTTGTCCATCGACCCCCTTTCCGGATCAGCACACTCAGAAGCCAAACTCGGTGCTGAACGTAGCCACCTCTCTCTTTACGCGCTCACCCCGACTGCCTCATTTTCGAAACCTGAGATCAGAAACGATCGCAGTTGATTCGAATAATCCAGACGCCCAACCTATAACACCAATCGTAGTCCAACAAGGTCTGGACTCTATCCCCACACCAACCTCCTCAAAACGAGCTTCGGTCTCGAACTCGCCGAGCCAAGCACGACTCTCAGAAGCCTCATTGCCTCAGTTAAACCCGTTACCCGAAGAGAATTTGCCCGAGGGGTTAAGCCCACCGAATCCATCCGAAGTTGACCTAGAAGCTAGTGCTAACTCCACGACATCGCGAGGCAAAACTGCGATGATGAATGCTCGCTACTTCGCGAAACTGCTGAAGAAGCAGAATACGGAGCCGAATGGGGAGGTGGCGGGCTTCCACAAGGGGTCTATGGCCTCTCTGCCTCCTATGAACGAAGAGGGAAAAGATGGTCGATACAGTTCAAATGCAATCATTTGTGCAAGGTTAGTTTTTCACAATCAGAATATATTTTAAATAAAAACAGCTGGACAGGTTTAAGTGGTGGAGGACGTTTCGAAAACCAAAATCCCTCTCAGATTTTACCCAAACATCTTAACTACCCAAATCATCATGTTTTTCTTACAGGGCGTTTGTTGGTATCAATATATAATGATTTTCAAGAAGTGAATTTTACGATCCAAACCCTTCCAAAAGTGTCCAAAATGGCAATTTTGGACCACATTTTTTTCACTTGCACATAGGTTTTGTTGCAAAACATTTTCTCTTTCAATTGCTAAGAGAGAAAAAATGTATAGAAAATCAATTATATCAAACTAGGAAAGTCTGGCTGCGAAAATTCAATTTCCGCTCTTTAAAGTTGCCCTTATACAAAAGTACCATTTTTTGTCATAGAAAAAGAGATGAAGTTAGATGAGACATTCTAGCCTGAAATTATCGAAAAACAATCTAAAACTTTTTTGTTCCCACCGGTAAAGTTATGGCTTATGTAATTATTGTGCAAAATCGGATATCTAAAAGAGCAGTCGAAAGGTATCGAGTCGAAAGGGATTGAGATATCTATTTTTTAGCTGACTGACCTTAAATTTTTTTAAAGCGCCTTCGCCGCCAATCTATCCTAATTTTTAGCGGTTAGCGCGCGCCGAAAAAAACGAGATTTTTTGATCAAAATTTTCCAAAAAGTGCATAAGAACGCCTTTTTTGGCGCCTTTTTTTTTGGCTTTTTTTGGCTTTTTTTGGCTTTTTTTCAACGCCATTTTTGGCTTTTTTTCAGAAGTTTGGCTGCGCGCAGAAAATTTCGTCTAACTAGAGTCTTTATAGTGGTTTGGGCGAGCTCAGAATATCAATTGGATCGACCTGAAAAAAAGTGTCGACAAAATTTTCATTTTTTTTGTGAAAATCCGCCCACACCTCAAGAAATTCCTTGTTTATTTCATTTACTTTTCTTCAAATTAGTGTCATTTTTAGTGAGTGGTGGGATTTTCGAATTATACGATTGCGTAAATATTTAATGAATTAGGCTTGATCGACAAAACTTAATTCATCTCCAAAAATGAGGAATAAAAAACTGAAAAAAAAAAAGAATTTTGTTTTAAGTTCTTTTTTTTTCAGTTTTTTATTCTTCATTTTTGGAGATAAATTAAATTTTGTCGATCAACCTAAATTCATTAAATGTTTACGCAATTGTATAGTTGAAACTTTTGCACAAAATTTTTAGTTTTTGTAAAAACTTTTTTGGCCAAACAAGCGTTAAAAAAAACATCCAAAAAAAAACTACTTTTCTGGTTGGTAGTTGGTAAAATGAAATTTTTTAGAATTCAAGTTACATATAGCGAGCGTTACTCAATCGCGTTACTCGCTTGAAATTAGACTAAATCTCAAAATTTTCTAGCCAATTTTTATTGGGATTTTTAAATTGTTTTTTTTTTAATTTTCGTTCAAAATAAGCCTGAAAATTATTTAATATGATATATCACTCGACCCAATCGGATGTTTATTAGTCGTACCTAACTTTGCGTGGAAAATAAAAAAAACTAAAACATACCCGAATACAAAGTTCCTCCCTATCTTTAATGGGGGAACAACAAAGAATTCACGTTCATAGAAAAACAACAGAAAATGTCTCATTTTTGTTTCAAATTAGAGTCGTTATTAGTGCGTTGCGGGACTAAAAAATTATGCAATTACGTGGAAGTTTGAAAAAAAAGTCATACTTGGCAACATTTTTCCTGAAAAAGGATTGACAAAAAAACTATTAAAAAACTTTTTATTTCTTGCACTTAAATTTTAAATTAAAAAAAACCTTTATAGCCAAAGAACTAAACGAAACTTCTAAAATTAGTTTTCTTGGTAGTAAAAATAGGTTGTTTCAGTATAAAAACAAAAAGAAAATCAGATAACGATTGATACTCGGTTACTTTACTTTTTTCGACACAGTCTGCTAATTTTTGTGGTACCTGATTCGGCGTGGAAAAAAAAGTGAATGAGAAAACTCCCCAATTTCAACGGTCATAAGAACAAAGATAGCCAGTTACTGTTTAAGTAAAACAGCATGTTCCAATCAAATTGATTTGAGAAGAGAATTTAAGAAAATTTTAGAGTAAATAAAAGAAGCTTAAACCGAAAAAAAATATATATTTAATTAGAGTTCAGCTTCTCAGCAAGAGGTTACTTTCTCAGCAAAATTTGACTAATTTGTTCAGAAAAACAAAAAGTGTCGAATTAGTTTTTCTCTACAGTGGTACAACTCTTTCATAATTTGTTCTTAGAACGCAAATCACGACCAACAGGGCTTTAATATGATACCAGATTTGACTTGAAAAAGTCAAAATTGTCTGAATTTAGCAAAAAAGTTTTAAAAAAAACTACCCTAAACTATAATTGCTTTACACTATTAATTAAATAAGGATCCCAAAAAATATCGCACTGGCGTCTGGCGTCAATATTTAGTCTACAGTTTTTGTTTGTTTGACTTTCTCAACAGGTTAATTTACCCGCCGAAAAGCTCCTAGCCTAAATCTACTGCTCATTTTGCAAATTTTAAGATATGGTTGTTTATTTTCTGAGAGAGCATTTTAGGTATTATTTTTTATTTTACTCTTTTTATCAGTTCCATGGTCAAAATAACATAATGAACCCAGAACTCTCCGATCACATTTATTGAAAGAACTATGAAACTGTATTTTTGTTTTTCAAACAAAGGCCTATTTCAAACTAAAGCTGACCGTGGAGAGGACCTAAAAAATTCTTTAAACGTTGGCATTGATCCTTATTGAGTACACTAGTCTTTCAAAAAATCTAAAACAAAACTTAAACTATACTTTTTAAATGTTAAAATTTCCAACAGATTTTTTTCTTTAACGTTAGAAGCACTGCAAAAATCTTCAATCGCTGGGTTTTTATCATTTTTTCTTATATTTGTTTTCATAGCTTAAATAACCTTTTCTGATAACTAATTATACTCCCTCACTTTACTCGCGCAAAATTATACTTCGAACCAGTTTTTCTTGCCACTAAAAAAGTTTCTTGCCCCTCAAAAATACACTCAAGAAATTATTTTTTCAAAAAAATTTACTGGCTTGGAATAAGACCACAACAGGTAAATTTTGAAATTTTCGATCTCAAGTTTTACTTGTTGAGTTTTCCTGCTATTTTAATCAAACAATTAATCGTGAAAAATATTTGCAATATAGATTCCTTTCACTTTAAAGTTTACTACAATGAGAACGCCGTGGAATTTTGCAGCACGTTTTCAGGAGCCTCTGATGCTGCTAGGACTGTATTGGTTTTTAATATCGATAAATAATAAAAAAAAATAAGAAAATTAATTTAGTGAAGAAAAAAATTAAACCAAAATAGCGGAACAAATTCAGCAGTATACCTACCCTCGACGGCAAAAACTTTTGCTAAACCAGTTGATTTACTCCTAGAATAAAGTTGTCCAAAAACTCATGGTTGAAGATTTGTAATTAAAATTCTGTGCATCTCTGAATCCAGGTCACAAAACCTGGGTGGTATTTTTGAACAAAGTTTAAAGTTTTTCTAATTCTAACTTTTATCAGAGTTTTTTATTATCATTTGAATGCACCGTATCTGCGCGGCTTTACTCAAAATTGAAAATTGTATTCAAATTTTTCTCATATGCAATTTCTTGAACGGCGATCGGTATGCACTCTTTTTTCAACACCTTACATATTAACATAAACAGTTAATAGATATGTAATTCCTTTACCCAGTATGTTTTGCGTTAGTCTTCGTTATTTTTCTATGCTCTCCTTTTTTCTGCTAAAACAAATAATTTTCAGAACTCGTTTGATTTTAGGCTCAACTGTTGCTAAATTACTTTTATCTGTTGACGCATAAGCCAAAACCCAGTACTGAAGAAAGGGTTCATCATAAGCGTTATATGTTTTCTGTAGTTGATCATCACCTAATGCTTTTCTCAACCTGTAATACATACCACAAAACCTCGACAAATTACTTTTCAGTTTTTGCATCATGATCTATAGAGGAAAGCTTAGAGTCAACGTTTGAACAACTAACAAACGGAACGTTTGGTTTTCTTCGATAGTTATTCCATGAAATTTTTACATCTAATTTTCCGCTGCTCTTCTTAGATAGTATAATTGTTTTTGTTTTATCTTCAATTAAGGTCAGTTTGTTTTTTTTTCTAACCAATATGCTGTTTTTCCCAACGCTTCGTGGTGTCTACCGATTAACACCCTGTTTCTAGCTGTTGTTTTTATGACATTTTTGTCTGCATATAAAATTATATTTCTTACCTTTTTTTCATCTAGCTTAATACCATTTATATAAATGATGAAAAGAAGAGGACCAGTTATGGATCCGCGTAGTACTTCAAAATTCGCATTTTGATTTTGAAATCGTTCTGTTTTAATGGCAACGTTTTGTTGTCGATTTTTAACTAGGATCTCAGAAGGTCCAAAGTAGGTTCCCAAAAACCATTTGTGTAATATTTCTTTAGTAAATGAAGTCAACTGTCAACGGTATCAAACGCTTTTTTAACGTTAATGAATGTGTCTTTGTGATCTTAGAATTCCAATCTTGACTCACTTCTTCTATTATGGTTATCAAAGCATCAATTGTACTCTTTTTTTATCTGAACCCAGGCTGGCAATTCTGTAAGAACTGATACTTGGTGAGATATTGGTTCATTCTGTTATAAATGACCCGCTCAAAAATTTCATGTAAGGCTGGTAAAAAACAAATCGGCCTGTAATTTGATAAGTCTAGATCATTGCCTTCTGTGAGAGATATTTAACTTTGAAATTTTGAAGCTGTGTGGAAAAATTTGTCTGTCCAAACATTTTTGTGAAAGTTTTGTCAAAATTAGGAGCGAAACTGGCTAGACAAATTTTTTTTCAAGTGATAGTGTAAACCCATATGTATCTAAACTAAACTTGGTTTTTAGCTATTCGATTATTTTGATATTTCATTTTCCGTTATTTCTGTTTTCTGCTGAGTTTTTTTTGCTCTCTGACTCTTATTTCTTTGAAGTTTTTTTCCTCAGCACCGATTTACAGGAAAGTTACAGACATACTGCAGTTAAATTAAATGTTTTCTTGGAGAAAAATTTCCGAAAAGCCGCACGTAGAGCGATGATCATATACTATGTGAACAAGTTGAGTGTCCATTTTTTGCATTTTTATGCTCCTTGCTAATTGCAAGGAATCTATCTATCATGCTACCCTGTTTAATGGCGGCGTTTTTGTATCATCTCCTTTTGTATCATCATCTTTCTTCACTGAATTGTTTATCGATTATTTATGAACTGCAAATATTCCCAATTCCGGTTATAACATTTTTAATTTCCAAAGAGGACAGAATGTAATATGTTTTGTGGGAGGAAAAATGCAGGATGTTTTAATCTTTTACTCTTGCAGCTTACCCATTAAA